GGAGACTCTTCAGAGAAAGAGACACCAGCTCCACCTGAAGACTCTTCAGAGAAAGAGAAATCAGGGGAACAGGAACCCAAGATTCAATCAGATGACACAGCCCCAGAACAAGAAACTGCCAAGAGACTATACTATGGTTATGACATCACTGGAAACGAAGATGATTCAGTTTTTTGAAGATTGAAAGATTGTTTTCCAGATGGTTACCATGATGTATGGGCAGGTTTTTACAATCAAGGTTGCCCAGCTTCTCCTCATCACCGACACATGTTTTGGCATGTCAAGTACAGGAAGACCATGGCCTCACACAAAGATTTCTGGTATCACCTTACTGATGATCAGTTGATGGCTGAGTACATTGCCAGACATAAGGGTCAACTACCTTTCGAGGAATTAGAAGAACTCAAGAACAATATTGAGTATGGCTGTAGTGATTTGAGAATGCACCCTAGACATCAAGACAAATCTGAAGCAGCCTCAAAAGAAGCAGAATCCAGAATTGATGATGATTTTCAATATTTGACCAGGGTACTTGAATGTTATGTTGAGGAACACAAAGTACTGCCTTACTGTACCATACTACACTGCTTAGCAGCTAGGTATTTGGGAGGTGGTTTGGTGGACCCAACGTACAATGACGAAGAGTACCCTTACAGGACTTCTCCACAGTTTACAGCGATGTTTTGGAACCTAGGGAACTGGTGTCGAACAAGGTTTGACAAATGCCCTGTTCCAGAAAGACTGGAACGATTTGTTCCACACATCGACTATGATATTGATGAACATCACCAACCTATTGACAATGAGAAGACTCAATACAACAATTATTTCATCAATGTCATCAAGAACTTCGGAGGCCATCTTTTCATGAATTGTGAAGCAGGTTCAATCTATCCTCGCAGAGCTCGTCTCGAAGAGGCCAAGATGACTGTATGCTTCAATGACTATCAAGATTTGATGGTTGCTGCTCGTGTCGGAAAGGAAGGTTATGTCAAGCAAATTGCTGGCTATTGTGAAAGGGAGAATGACACACGAGTTCGTCAAGTCTCATGGGCGATCTTTGAGGTCTACTGGGGTAAGACCAAGCATCGTGACACAGAAGATATCATTGACTTGACAAGGGCAAGAATGAAGATGACACGTGTGTGTGTGTGTGTCTATCATGTTGGACAGGAATATGCCTCAAAATCAGCTGGTATCGTTGGTGAATGTATTGCTATTATGGCTTTCGAATGTGCAAGATACCAAGTTGACGTGATTGCAGGTGACGGCAACAAGGCAGCATATTTTACAATGCCAAAGTCACCGGGAGTTCCCACATATTAACATAGCCTGTTACAATACTGGATTAACAAGATGATGGCAGTTGCAACACAAGCTCAGCGCAAGCATTTTGATTCAACTAGCCCTCCAATCAGGGTCAAACATTTCATTTCTTGCAGCTATCGTGAACTTGATTTTCTTGCGACACATCTTGAAGGTATTACAACAGCTACATACACTGGAGAGCTCATGAAGAAGACAACAGACAAGAGTGATTGTTGTATGCTTTCAGCGGTTGAGTGGGGCCAGTCACGAAAGGTATATGAAGAAGATCCTTCAGAGTTTGAAGATGAAGATCATCTGAACTACATTGGTGAGTTTGAATTCAAGGTGAACGAAACTTGCTTGAATGGTGATCACAACATTTTCATGGTTGCACCAAATGATCGTGATGCTCACAATCCTCTATTGGTTCATCTGACACCTTCCACTATGACATGGAATGAGAGGAACACCTATAAACCAAAAGAACAGAAGATCAAAAGGAAGGAACAAAGGAAGGAAATTCAGAAACAGAATAAGAGGAAAGGCTATGAAGATCGAGCAGAACGCGATCAACGCAACACTAGTTATGGTGGATCTTCTAGCTCATCGTCCTGGACATGGAGACCAAAGTGAGTGTATACTTCTTTAGATGAAGATAACACAGCTTGAGAGGCTTGTACAGTTTTCTGTGCGTAAGCTTGTTTCCAAGATAATGGCATATACTCTTTTAGATGGAGACAATGTCATTATAATGTCCGAATTTCAATTTAATGTAGATAGAGACTCCTATAGATAGAGACACTGTCACATATTATTTCCGTCAACCTTCCGTTGAGCAGAACACCTCCGAATGGAGAGAGTCCAATATATCAATTTCGATTTCAGTCCATCGTTCGCTTGAATGAGCAACTTTGGAGATCCGCTACTTCCGTTTATTTAGTGATTCGGTCCATTGTTTTTCGTCGACCAAACATGTCTGAATCTTGCATCGAAAGAGTCACATTCCACACCGGTAGAGCGAGCACTTTGCTTGGAGAGACCGTGCCTAGCGCACCACTGGTCATGCCGGGAAAAATGAGCGAATCTGCTGACTGTTTTTCACCTCGACATGTCTTAAAGACATCCCGCAATTTCAAGACGTTTTCTTTTTCGAATCCACTGCGTGAACTTCGTATAGTTTTTGCCGATTTGCCATTGTGTAGCTAACACGGGATGATACTCTTAGTTCCCATTGAGTACGACAAGGCGTAGTGCTCTACTCATTGCTTTTGAATTTGTGCCTGTGTTTTTGTTTCGACCAAATACCTACCAGGTACTATGCATGAGTATTGAGCACATTTATATGCGCCTCCTTCAAGGCTCAAGAGGGATATAGAGTAACCCTGTGGACACCACACCGACTGGCAATAAGCTGAGAGTAAAAGGGTGTGAAGCTGTCTTGGGAAGACGTTCTAGCTGATCTATACTAGACGCTAGTTCCCCTCTTCACCCCCTCCCCCCCCTCACTACTACTCCTACTCCTATTCCTACTCCTGCTCCTACTACCCCCACAACGCCTACTCCGACGCGACTCCGGCTTCGACTCGTCAGAAGCTCTGACACACAGAAGCTTTTACACACGGACGCATTTACACACCAACGCTTTTACACACAAACGCGTTGACACACAAACGCTTTTACACACAGCAGCTTTTGCACATAAACGCTTTTACACATAGACGCTTTTACACACAGAGGCTTTCCCGCCCCTCCGTCAAAAAAGCTCTCCCCCAGCAGGGTGCAGGATTTTTGGTGTTTTTTCCGCACAAACACTTTTACACACCGAAGCTTAAACAAAAGCTTTTACACACAGAAGTTCACAGAAGCTTTTACACACAGACGCTTTTGCACAGAGACGCTTTTACACACAGACGCTTTTACACACATACGCTTTTACACACAGAAGCTTTTACACACAAATTCTTTTACACACGGAAGCTTTTACACACCGAAGCTTTTACGCACAGCAGCTTTTACACACAGACGCTTTTACACACATACGCTTTTACACACAGAAGCTTTTACACACAGAAGCTTTTACACACAGAAGCTTTTACACACAAACGCTTTTACACACAGAAGCTTTTACACACAGAAGCTTTTACACACAGACGCTTTTACACACGGAAGCTTTGACACACCGACGCTTTGACACACCGAAGCTTTGACACACCGAAGCTTTTACACACAGAACCTTTTACACACAGACCAAAGAACCTTAACAGAAAAGCACAGGCTATGGCCGGCGGGCTTGCCGTAGGCACTTAAATTCACTGATCTCGTTTTAGGGTCTAGATCCGTGGGGTTTACATCAGCTACCTTTTTCAGCCAAAGTAAGATGTCTCAAAGCAGCCGCACTTGAGGCATTTTGAGCACTGTCCGAGGTCAACAATGCCATATCGTGCTTCCAAAAATTGTTCAGAATTGCTCGACATGACCCAAGCTGGCCCGAAAAAATTGCTCAAAACTGCTCAAAATTGCTCAAATTTGCTCAAATTTGTTCATTTGCTCAAAACTGCTCAAAATTGCTCGAAATGTCTCAAACTGTCTCAAAAAAAAATCAAAATGTCTCACATGGGCCAGCAAGTGTCTAAAGGGGTGATGTTCTTGCATATACAGGTGCGAAAGTTGTCATAAGTTGTCATTACTTGGCATTGCTGTTGCCGGTGTCTATTGTTGCATGGGCTTAAGGTCAGTGTCAATTGAGCCGAGGTCATGCCTGCTGCTACATTCAGAACCCTCAATCGTCAGTTTCAACTGACAGGAATCACTTGTCATTAGATTGGTTGCCGTTGTTCAAATCAACGGCTTCTCCCGAAAAAAACGCAGTGCTTTGATAGGAAAAACCGTTCATGCCCGCAGTTTCTTTTGCTTCATTACTGCCTCTTGGTGATGCCACAGTGAGACATGAACTTCTAGGAGTTTTTGGGATTTTTTGAGATTTGAAAGGTAGCGGATCTAAACCTAACGGATCTACACCCCAAATTGCGAACAGTGATAAATACAAGGCTACCTCTTCGAGTTGGCTAATTCACAGAACCAAATTAATCTTTACCTCGTTAAATCTGACTTACCCACCTCGTTGCCTCGTTTGTCCTCGCTATAATTTGTGCAGACTAATTACACTACAACGACAACTACAACAACTGCTACAACTGCAGCTACAACTACACTACATTACACTACACTACCTCAATTACACTACGCTACACTGCAACTAGGCTACATGACAAAACACTACACTACACCAATTACACTACACTGCAACTACAACTACACTACATGACACAACACTACGCTACACTAATTACACGACGCTACGCCGCTACGCCGCTACACTAATTACACCACACCACAACTGCAACTGCAACTGCAACTACACACTACGCTAATCACACTACACTACAACTACAGCTCCACTACACTACAATTACAACTACAACTGCACTACACCACACAGCACCCATTGCAACCACTCCAAAAAACACAACTCCAACCACCTTTCCGTCCATCAGTGGATTCGCTCTGCCATCCATGCATCACAACAACTCACCTCTCCTATAGTGTCCTATCCTTGAAACTTCCGCTACCGCCTTGTGCGGTACTGGTACAGAACCAAAAAAAGTATGTCCAACTCTGGACAGTCCAGGCTCCTTGTTGACGCTACTGGGAGTCTTGCCCTTCTCCTGCACCAACGGGGAAGGCCAGGTTTGAGGGTGAAGCAGGATCCATTTCACATTCATATCATATCTGCCAAATTGGATTTTAGATATATGATCTAGAATCATGTATGCTAGAGATGACAGAGTCCGATTACCAATTTACATATATCGCATCCGCATCGGTATTACTATTCAATATTGTAGCAATCCCCAAAACATTTGACAAATCCGTTTCCAAATTCCTGGTCTATCCTTTTGGGGTTGCTACATTCACATATGATTACGGGTCAAAACCCTGCTATCCTGGTGTTCATCCCTGCTGAACATGCGGTACCCAAAAATCTGATCGCTCATCAGCTTCCCCACTTTAATCAACATGTGTGTGGCATCCACCATGTTCAGACACATGAAACATAGACGGTTGGCGGTTAGCTATATCCAAAAACAATCCCCACCAAATCATGTTGATAACTGTTTTGATGCTTGAAGGCCCCATTGTTTCATCATTTTGAATATTCATTTTCCATGGCTAGCTGGCTTACAATTAATATATATATATACATATTTGATTTTTTATTTTCCAATAGCAAACCGTTAGTTTACCAAAGGGTAAATGTCAATTTCCCTATATGTTTCCAACATGTCCCAGCCTTCTCCCATTCCAGCCTTGCTCTCTGTGACCTTCACCTCTTTGGTCGTCTTCTTCGTGCCCTTCGCCACAGCCGGCGCCGGCACCGCCGGCACTGCCGGCACCGGCACTGGGGACCTGCGGTTTGGTTTCGGTGATCTTTGTTAATGATCATCGCGAAGAATCCATGTTTAGTTAACAATAATTCATGGACAAAACTATGAAGCACAGTGCATTGATGTTTATTTATGTTGTGTTAAAACATAATTAGTATAGTTTAACATCAATTTCACAATCACAATAATGGTTAAAAAACTTGGTTAATAATCCAGAGTTTATATCACGAATAAACAATCATAAACATGATGCGGATATACCCTGGGCTCCGGTTAACATTTTGCGAACAGTCTTTTTTGCCCAGTTTGTGACAAACGATTTACCTACGAATTTCATGGGGATGTACATAGCTATGTTAGCTTACCAAAGGGTAAGGTGATAATACTGGAATTTCAATGGGGTTATATGGGATTATGATGTGAGTATGATGCGGTGGTAATGAAATGATATGTAAAACTATATGATTATATGTCTAGTCTAATTAAACAGCTTACATCTAGATGACAGCGAGTCAACCTGACTTGATGAACCCAAACATTGATTGTGTTTGATATGCTGTATTTTGATACTAATTCTATAGTCTATAACTTTACACACCATCTGCAGCCTCATCTTGCTAAGGAGCATGCTTGCATTTCAGAACATGTTCCATCCCACTTAACACTTCCAAAACATGAAGGAACCAACACTGTTTGTCATCTCGCAACGGCCTGTTTGATGCAACTGGATGATATCTCAAGCAACCGTACAGTTTGCACCAGGGTATTGCATGGTATTAGCCCTTCCTGAAACCTTTCATTGAAACCAGCTGAACAGCTGAGTACTAGTCCTTCAACCCGAGACGTGAAGGGAAAAAAAGAAGTGGGGTGGAGTGGTTTATACCCGTTGGATGGCTAAAGGGCCACACCCCAGCCGGTTGGAATCTACTCGTACCAACAAAACCATCATCACGCGCCAAGGAACGTTGAAGAATTTGGACTGACCTTTTTCTGCGTCTTCTTGGTGATAGTTTTCCTTGGAATCGGATCATCAGGGGCACACCGGATACCCTTCAGCAAAAAACAAACACATGATACGATGCAACATGGGTTTGATTGAAAATATTAAAAATGGGGTACTATCAAAGTGGATTATGTTCATTTCCACCACTTTCAAAGACACCCAACGTCCACCATGCTCCAAGCGTCTTCACCGGCGCCGTCTTCGCGACCTTCACCGCCTTCACCGGCGACGGCGCCGGCGGCTTCGGCTTGGGCGTGGCCTTCTTCGGCGGCGGCGAAGCGCTAGAGCTGGGCGGCCGCGTCTTGCGACCTCGCGGCTCCTGGAAATGTTCCACACATTGCAAAACCCATTGATTGATTGTTTTATAAGGAGGGTATTACAAAAAAAAATGGGGATGATTGGAGTCCATGAACTGGGCCCGTTCTTAACCAGTGTAGAAAGGTACGAGAGACCAGAGATCTTAGAATGGCATGGGGTATGTTTCTGCTAGAGGTATTTTTGGCCATATATGCACCCTAAGGGAACCCCATCAAAAACCCAAAAGAGACTAAAGTAAGCTAATAAAAACCCATTGAACACCTATGGGAGTTTAGTGGGGTGGGGGACTTTGTGTTTTGTTTATTTTTGCCTTAGCTTTGTTTAGGTTTGATTTGGTTTTTGATGTGGGTGCAGCCAATTTTGGGGAATTTGTTGGGTTCCTGTTAGCTTTTCTTAGGTTTTAATGGGTTTGTGCTGGTGGTGCAGCCCATTCTTGGGAATTGGTTGGGAATTGTTTGGAAATCAGTTGGTGATCCCTTGGATGTGCTTGGCCCATTTTCGGGAATTATTTAGGTTTTTGTGGGAATGAGCTACGTTTTTGTGGGGATAATTTAGGTTTTGTTGGTGGTTCAGTGGGATTATTTGGGAGCCTTCTGGGTTTCTCCAGGGTTTTGATTGGGAATCCATTGGGCCTAGAAAGGCTAAAAGGCTCTTAGCAGAAACATAGTGCAAGCCGTTCTATGAAGAGAGGGCTGTAAAATTATAACGTCTATTTATGTAAACTATGAGTAAAATTTCCGACTGCTATAGGAATGGACTTCTGCAAACTATCAGAGTTATTTCATCATATTTCACATTGAGCAGAAATCATAGTAACAATTTAAGTGAATCCGCCGGCCTGCCGGCGTGTCTTGTGGATCTTGCTTGTTCGTAGTTGTACTGTTTGTTTAGTCTTTAGTCTCTGTCTAGACTTTCCCCCTGGCGCGGATTTTTGCCCCGTCTAACTTGAACCCCCCCTCCCCCCCCGTACGAGGGAAAAACATGTACTATGTGGCGCGCGCAGTTTTCCTTGTAAAAATTCTACATTTTTCCATGCTCCACATTTAGACTGTAAAATTCAATTCTAGAAATCTAAATTTTACTAAGCTCCAAATTTAGAATTTTTAGAATTTTTTGAATTCAATTCTAAAAATTCTGAATTTTTCCCAGCTCAGAATTTTTAGAATTCAATTTTGAAAATTCTAAATTTTTCCCAGCTCCAAAGTTAGAATTTTTTAAAATTCAAATCTAAAAATTCTAAAGAAAATAAAAAAGAATTAGTCCGACTTCCCCAAATCCATCTATATCTAGACACCTTAACCCATTCCACCCTGCTTACATGCACAAGAAGTGGTGCCGAAAAATCGACGCCAACCGTAAATGGCACCCCTCCCCCCCTCTCCCGGTCGTGCTTATCATCTTTCGTTTCCACCTTAGTTTCGAAACATGATTCAGTTTCAACTCAAACCCCGGCTTACGCAAAACCCATGTTTTGTCTCTCCTTTTCGTGTTTTTCCTCTGCGTCTTTCGTTGCAATGTGCTGGGTTCGACTCTGCCCACGCTGTTTCCATTGTGGTGCTCACGATTGGTTTGCTCTGTCATTCTTACACTTTCTACATTCCTATGCCTCATACATGTGGCCTGTCAATCCACTTGCTTTTGTGCAGAACACAATTTACACGCGCAACCTTTCTATGTATGGCCTTTTTCAGAAACCTTGGTTCACACACTGCTTCGGCTTAAATTCAAGCCCTGGTTTACGCAAGCACCATGCAGTGTGTGTCAAAGCGCATCTTCCTACTAAACAAAACGCTGATTCACAGAGAAAAAACGTGTTGTAAGTGTTTCCCAGAAACACCATGCATTACACAAACATCTAAACAAATCATGTTCTTGCTTCGCCTTTCCCTGCGTCCTCAGCTTCACGCTCTTGGTTGGCTAGCTGGCTTGCTGTTGTCTAAGCTTTCTTCTGCCGCCGTTGCTTCGCCATGAATGTGCTGCAAGGGCTTTCTAGGGTTGACGCCCTGTATATACACAACCGCCTCGGTTCAGCCAAAAGCTTTGCTGCACTCAAAATCACCCCTTACAAACGCCATGTTTTACACAAAAACCATGTTCTTGCTGGGCCTCTGCAAGGGCTGTTTGCATCTTACAGGATAACTCTTTCCATGGTGGCCGGCGGAACACGCCGAAGGCGGTTCAATAAAACAAAAATACAACAATATAATTATGGTGGTTTCCTAAAGTATGGGTACCCCCAAACTTCATCCATGTTAAAATTCGATTTGCCATGATAAACCATCTTTTGGCTACCCCCATTGAAAGATCCACTGAAACATACAGCATCGCCCGTCCTCCACTTTCCGTCTCACCGTGGGCGGTGATAGCTTCCGCTTGGTTTTGGGTGGGAAAGAGCTGCTGGACTTTGCGCCTGGGAACATCACTGTTCATCATGTCGATATTATATTGGAAGATATTGGAAGCAACATCTCTGGGATATTCATGGTTTTTCAAGATATATCTCATGTATTTCTAGATATTCATCGTTACAATTTGGGATACGAAAAATTGGAAGTTTCTGTTGTCTATGGAAAAAACATCTGAAAATGGAAATGGTCCCATGTTTTGTGGTGAAAATCAACATGTTTCCCCAAACAGTGTCCACGCTGAGGAGTTCTTACGGTAGGTGTTAAGGCCCTGTGTTCAATCGAGGCGGCATCAGAAGCGACCAGCAATGTCCAAATAAATTCCCCCGCAACATGCCTCTTGTGACATGTCCATGTGCATTCCGACTGCGCAGGCTTGCACAAAATGCTTACCCCGGGATGAGCGTCCTTCATTTTCCTTGTAAATTAGAAGACAAAATGCCTCTCGTGATGTCCATCTGCATTTCGACTGCGCAGGTTCGCACAAAGTGTGCTTCCCGGTCTTGGGATCGGTCTTCCTCCTCAACATCATCATCTTCCTCCTCCTCCTCCTGAACATCCACATCATCATCCTCTCATCATCATCATCATCATCATCATCATCATCATCATCATCATCATCCCCACCATCATTATCACCGCCCTCATCATGGTCATGATCATGACCATGATCATGGTCAAGATGAGATCATCATCATCATCACTACTATTCACATGAGTATCATCACCATCATCATAATCATCATCATCATCATCCTCCTCATCATCCTCAACATAATAATTTTCCTCCGCCTCCTCCCCCTCTAAATCATCATCATCATCATCATCACCATCCTCCTCCTCCTCATCATCTTCATCATCTTCATCATCATCACCATCATCATCATCATCACCATCATCATCCCCACCATCATTACCACCGCCCTCATCATGGTCATGACCATGACCATGGCCAAGATGATGATGATGATCATCATCACTACCATGATCATGAGCAGCATCACCATCATCATAATCATCATCATTTTCTTCCTCATCATCCTCAACATAATCATTTTCCTCCTCCTCCCCCTCTAAATCATCATCATCACCATCACCACCATCATCATCATCATCACCATCATCATCATCTTCATCATCTTCATAATCATCATCACCATCATCATCATCTTCCTCCTCCTTATCATCATCATCATCATCATCATCATCACCAAAACAAAAATATAAATCATCATCATCAACAACACCACCGTCATCATCAACATCATCGTCAACATTAACATCATCACCATTATAGTACATGATTTTTTATTCACCCCACACTGTTTGGGGTCTCTTGCCGGGATATTTTTTGAATGTACATGTGGGTTGTATTAAAAGCACCATTTCCGTTAGTAAAACCCTGAAAAAGGAGAATGCTCCCAATTTAAGAACACCATAAAGAATAAGCAGCATCATATGTTTTCAACAGCTGGATTTTTCCGGCCCGTGTAACCTAGCTTTTGGACAAACCAATTTCTGTTGAAATTGAACTCATCTGGTTTCGTCACCCAAGGCTTTCACCATACCCCGTCATCTGGTTTTGGGTCGATGTTGGTTGACATTTATATAGTCACTGGCAGCAATGCGTCACAGTGTGCGTAAACAAGAATGTTTAACCATATATTCCATTAATATTCATTAATTCAAACCTCAACAACAAGCATGTACATATCCCTATGTATGTTTTATATGGCCAAGAAACTTGTGTATGAATGGAAATGATGGTGTAAACAAGGGGTTGATATATTGATTATTTACAGCTATATGTCAAGCTATGATCAACCCCCCTAAAAGCTCATCAAACAGCAAAACATGTTTGTTTTTGGATGATTCCGCCAATCCTACCCATCAAGTAAGTTGCAATTGTCCCTCAAGCTGCACATCCTCGATCGATCATTCCTTTTCACACATCGAAAGAACTTAGATGTTGCCAGATTATACTCCTTAAATCAACTGGGATAGATATCCAAGTTGTTTGGTAAGTTGCTTGATGATAAACTGCAGTAAACTAACAAGAACTGAAACATTCTAGAAGACCCCTTGCAAGATTCATCTCCTGGGCCCCAGAAGATATGGTTTAAGGAGGATAATGAGGATATAGCTATACTTAATGGAAATTGTAAACCAACAAACATACCTGAGGGGGCAACATCTTGTAAGGAAAATGGCACATTCGAAGATCATTCATCAAACAACTTATCATATATACCCCAAGTTGGGTATTATATCTTTCAAAAATCCATCACTGGTTGGTGGCAAACCCCTCTGAAAAATATTAGTCAGTTGGGATGATGAAATTCCCAATATATGGAAAGTCATAAAACTCATGTTCCAAACCACCAACCAGTTAATAACAGTTAATTTTCACGGTTGATAACCATTGATCATATCCCCATGCATTTCCTAAATCCCACCAAATGGATGGTTTATGGTTGCTTTAACCACCTGAATACCCAATCCCATTGATCAAATACCCATTAATATCCCAATAAAAAGATCCATCAGAATCCCATGAGTTTTCTCCCAAGTGACGCCGCTTCTTCTCCCTGGAGCGGTTCCGCCGCGCCCGCCGCGAGCTGCTCGTTGCGGAGCGTTTCGGCTTCGCGGCCGGCCGCGTGCGCCGCGGCAAAGGCGAGCGCGGGTCGCGGCGGCGGTTTTTGGAGGAGCGACGGCGGCTGGGCCTTGCCAGGCTATGAGGCCATGGTAGTGAAAATGAATGACTTTTATGATGTTTTTACATGTGCATACTGCTTTTTGGCTTCAGGTTGTTTATCGATGTTTGGATATGACTTTTCTAGAGTTTTTGGTATGTATGAATAGTTTCATAGATATAGATTCGGAGGATTTGATTTGCAATGAATTGTGATTGTAAATTGCTATGGCTATTGTGAGGGAAATTGAGCTGGCCTGACCTTTATACAGGGTTGCTGGCCATCCTTAGAATCTTTGGTGATATCGAAAGTTATTATAGCAGATGTGAAGCGATCCCTGGGAAAATCATGTTTAATTACATAGACATGTAACACACACACACACATATATATATATATACGCAGTAATTCATCCCCAATACATGATATCCCAATATTGTACTCAGCGAATTGATTTCCCTTGACATACATATATATATGTCTATCAAATTACATTCTAACATTAGATAACCAGTAGTCTGTGTCCATTACCAACGTGATAATCTCTATATATATATATACATTCGGAAATGATATTTAATATGAATGTTTTATATTATTTTAAATTATTAGGACGAGAGGAAGATATGGGATACTGGAATGTTACTAATCAAAAATCATCCACAAATAAACAAAACAACAACCTTACTAAATTATGAATATGTAACATATTGGATTAATTCAATTATATACTGACATCGATATTAACAATCAATCCCATATTAACAAATCATTATCCCGTATTTTCATGACCCCATATCAAGAAACAAATCCCCTCATAACCATGGGGATTGATGGCACATTAATATGGCATAAAAGCATTATTATTACTATTACTATTACTGTTACTACTATTGTAATATGGCATTATGAAAAATTGTAACGACTATTATGCCATAATAGTTACTATTATCATTAACCCATAACAATTGGTTATTACTATTACTATCACAATTGGTTATGACTGTTACTATGATGCCATATCACTATCATTATCCCGTTAATGGGTGCCATATCAATTACTACCATATGTTTCTATAATAACTATTACTATTAAAACTATTACCCTCTGGTAAATTAACATAGACCCTGGCAGTTGTCGGGGTTGGAAGATTAGTTTCCATTAAAACTAGGCTAGTTTCAGGGTCAACAAGTTGATTTACTAGAGGGTATATAGTCATATACTCTATGGGCATATATTATTGTTAATGTTACTACTACCGTTACTATTGCAATTATTATGCCATATCAATATCCCAACCCCCATTGTGATAACCAGCATAGCACCCGCCTCCGCCGTGAGGGGCTCTTGCGCCGCTTGGACACGCTGCGCTTGGGCGACTTGGCTTTGCGCTTGGGCGACTTGGCGCAAGTCTTGCCTTAAGATGGGGTAGTCATGGGGGAAATATGTTAGATATCAAAATATAATTCAAAATAGTTTTATATATTTATATATTTCATAGTATATTTATATATATATATGTTTCTATATTGTCTTATACATTCATATACTTCACAATAAATATTTATATATTTAATTCTATATATTCTAGAATAAATAAAATATATAGTTATATAAATATAATAAAAAAAATATATATATATTGCTTTATATATTTATATTTGGGGTTAAGTATTAGGGGGAAGGGAGTACATGTTAAGTCAATCTAATATCTGAAATGGGGTACCGCAAAAAATGGATGGTTTAGAATGGAAAATCTGAGTAGGATTGATGATTTAGCGGTACCCCCATTTTAGGAAACCTTCATATATCTTTACATAGTATGATCAATAGGGGTCGTGCCATATTGGGAAGCCTATGAATGGTGGGTTGATGACCATTCTTTTCTATGGGAAACCAATCTTGACCATGGCACATGTGGAGGTTTCCGTACCGCAAAGCATGCAAAATTAAACAATTTTAGTATACTTATTTTAGTAATTATTGAAGCAGCCATGATGACTTAGGGTCATTTTAAGAAACCCGCAAATCACTATGGATCCAATCTATGCACTCACCCGTTGCACCGTTGCACCCCCTGGAAACCCGTCGCTTGCGCGCCTCGCGGTGTGCCGCTCTGCCGGCGGCTGCGCTTCTTCTCGTCGCGTTTCTCGCGACTGCGCTTCTTCTCACGGCTCTTGGAACGCCAGGCGCGCAGGCCGCGTTCCTTGGCCTCTTCCTGTGAGGCGGGAACCAAAAACAACCGCAACAACAACAACAACAACGACAACGACAACGACAACGACAACGACAACGCTTGGCGGTACCGTAACATTGTGTGATATAATTTTAAATATTATATATGAAGTTTTTTAGTTATCAAAGGAAGTTGGGAAGCAATACTTCCGAGTTACGAATGACTTTTACTTGATGAAATTGACTATGATGAAGGGTGGTACGTGATAAAACAATACATAGCATAACAACACACAACAAAAGCATAAGAAGCTATGCAGTTGACTTTGATGAAGGGTGGTAGATCACAGAACAATACAATCGCATTGGATATGTGCATGAATGTTGCATGGTCTTTGTTTTGGGGAGGAAGCCGGAGCACGAAACCTTATGTTTTCCCGTGTAAAGTGGCTGCAGCCGGCGATGAAAGGTACCTCGTGTGTGCGACGGGTGCGGCTGCGGTCGTTTCTGTCGCGACTTGGTTCCTCCTCTGTGTTTTGCAACAAGTGGTTGTGTCTATGTGCGTAGTTCTATGCGTTTCTTGAATCTCCAGTTGCAGATCGCATTGTTTCTTGCTTTGGCTGCATGCGTAATACTATAGCCTTTTGCAGCTGAATCTCGTAAATCGTATTGGAGGGGCTGCATCCAGGCTGCGATAGTGATTTGTCAGCAGATTTTCGCAATTTTGGCGCTAGCGATTTTCCTTTTAAAAATCTTTGTAAAAAGCGCTTCAAAATCGTCTTTTTTTCGCTTTGGCGTCGAGATCCGGTTTTGGAGCTGCCATTTCCGACCCAGTTGCGAGTAGTTCTATTGTGAAGTTTCAAGTGTGAAGTGTGGACTGCGAAGAGGGCAGTGTGAAATGTGTAGTGTGGAGTGCGAAGAGTGCAGTGCGAAGTGTGACGTGTGGAGTGTGAAGTCTGTAGTGTGGAGAGTGCGGTGAGAGGTGTGGAGTACGAAGTGGAGCTTCAAAGGTGGCATGTGAAACAGGACACCACTTTCGCAGAGTGCACGCACGCACGGGCTTGGCTGGCGCACGGCGCGTGCAAGTTCTATAGATGAGACAGGTCTTGTAGTATATATATATACTTCCCTCAGCAACTTCCGCCCCGCCTCCTGCGGGGACTACTGGTAGTCTAAGAATAATCTAATCAATACACTGTCTAATTGGTCGATGTTCAACCATTGTTTCATCTAGAGGAAATACAAATATCCCATTGTCAAAGGAAGTTTAGGGGGAGAAACTTCCGTGTTACGGACTTTTAGAATGTCAGGGAAAGAGTTAGTCAAAGAAAGAGTTAGTGAGGGAAAGATTTAGTCAAAGAAAGAGTTAGTGAGAGAAAGAATTAGTTCGGATATATGAGGTAGTCAAAGAAAGAGTTAGCAAAGGAAGAGTTAGTGAGGGAAAGAGTTCGTTAGGGAAAGAGTTAGTCAAAGAAAGAGTTAGTCAAAGAAAGAGTTAGTCAGGGAAAGAGTTAGTCAGGGAAAGAGTTAGTCAAAGAAAGAGTTAGTGAGGGAAAGAGTTAGTCAAAGAAAGAGTTAGTGAGAGAAAGAGTTAGTTCGGATATATGAGGTAGTCAAAGAAAGAGTTAGCAAAGGAAGAGTTAGTGAGGGAAAGAGTTCGTTAGGGAAAGAGTTAGTCAAAGAAAGAGTTAGTCAAAGAAAGAGTTAGTCAGGGAAAGAGTTAGTCAGGGAAAGAGTTAGTCAAAGAAAGAGTTAGTGAGGGAAAGAGTTAGTCAAAGAAAGAGTTAGTGAGAGAAAGAGTTAGTCAAAGAAACATTTAGTCAGGGAAAGAGTTAGTCAGGGAAGGAGTTAGTGAGGGAAAGAGTTAGTCAAAGAAAGAATTAGTTGAATTTTTGAAGGAAGTCTTGCACGAAATGCGTTTTTGAGAGATAGCAGATGCACGAAACCCTATGTTTTTCCAGACAAAGTGCGTCCCCGAACGTCGATGATCTACCTCTGCGGTGCGACGGTTGCGAGACGGTCTCGTGTGTGGTCGGATCATGTTCGGATCATTCTCGGATCGGTCTCGGATCGGTTCCGCATTGCAAATGGGGTTTCAACTGTGTTTCGTCCATGTGCGGTCGACAGAATTATAAATTCCATTGTGATTTGCAACTGTAGGATCCTTCCCGCAATGTAAATGGGATTGCAAGTGGTGCTGGTGGATGAGTTGCCGATGGAGTTTTGAAGGAAGTCTCGCACGAAATGCGTTTTTGAGAGATAGCAGATGCACGAAACCCTATGTGTGTGTGGTCGGATCATGTTCGGATCATTCTCGGATCGGTCTCGGATCGGTTCCGCATTGTAAATGGGGTTTCAACTGTGTTTCGTCCATGTGCGGTCGACAGAATTATAAATTCCATTGTGATTTGCAACTGTAGGATCGTTCCCGCAATGTAAATGGGATTGCAAGGTTGCTTCCTGCTGTGGCTGCATTCGTAATACTATTGTCTTTTGCAGCTGGACTTCGTAAAGCGTATTGGAGTGGCTGCATGAAGGCTGCGACAGTGATTTGTAGTACTATTGTCTTTTGCAGCTGGACTTCGTAAAGCGTATTGGAGTGGCTGCATGAAGGCTGCGACAGTGATTTGTAATACTATTGTCTTTTGCAGCTGGACTTCGTAAAGCGTATTGGAGTGGCTGCATGAAGGCTGCGACAGTGATTTGTCAGCAGATTTTCTCCATTTTGGCGCTACTGATTTTCCTTCTAAAAATCCTTTTAAAAAGTGCTTCTCAAAATCGTCTTTTTTTCGCTCTGGCGTCGGGATCCAGTTTTGGAGCTACAATTTCCGACGCCGTTGCGCGTAGTTCTATCGTGTTTTGCAACTTAGTCTCTGCAGATCGCAATGTAATGGCTGCGTCAAGGTTGCTTCGTGCTGTGGCTGCATTTGTAATACTATTGTCTTTTGCAGCTGGATTTCGTAAATCGTATTGGAGTGGCTGCATGAAGGCTGCGACAGTGATTTGTCAGCAGATTTTCTCCATTTTGGCGCTACTGATTTTCCTTCTAAAAATCCTTTTAAAAAGTGCTTCTCAAAATCGTTTTTTTTTGCTCTGGCGTCGAGATCCGGTTTTGGAGCTACAATTTCCGACGCCGTTGCGCGTAGTTCTATCGTGTTTTGCAACTCAGTCTCTGCAGATCGCATTGTAATGGCTGCGTCAAGGTTGCTTCGTGCTGTGGCTGCATTCGTAATACTATTGTCTTTTGCAGCTGGATCTCGGAAATCGTCTTGGAGTGGCTGCATGAAGGCTGCGAAATAAATTTGTTAGCAGATTTTCTCCATTTTGGCACTAGTGTTTTTTTTCCACGTAGGTTTAGAGCAGTGTGAAGTGTGGGGCGTAAAGAGTGCAGTGTGAAGTGTGAAGTGTGAAGGAAGCAGTGGGAAGTGAGAAGTGTGAAGTGTGGAGTGTGAAGTGTGAAGTGTGGAGTGTGAAGTTTAAGTTTGGAGTGCTAAGAGCGCAGTGTGAAGTGTGAAGTGTGAAGTTTGGAGTGTGAAGGAAGCAGTGAGAAGTGAGAAGTGTGAAGTGTGGACTGTGAAGTGTGAAGTGTGAAGTGTGGAGTGTGAAGTTTGAAGTTTGGAGTTCGAAGAGTGCAGTGTGAAGTGTGGAGTGTGGCGTGTGAAGACTTTGCTTCCTCTCTCGCTGAAAAAAAAAACCGCTTGTCGAGGGAAGGACACGGTCGGGACAGGTTGTCTTCGGACTATAGGTCATTTATTTTTGGGAAACTTCCGCCGCCGGCTTGCCCGGGTCTATGTTCCACGTTCATGATATCTTCATATTTGCTGTTTCAATCCTACTTGTTTGGTTGCTGAAACCCTTTTGCACCATTTGTAGCATATTGTTGGTCCATTTACACATCTATCTCAACTAGACCCTCTGGTAATCTGGTAATCCAACATAGCCATAGAACATGACCAAACATAGTTCGATGATCTACCTATCAGTTCAACGGCGATCCAATCGCGCAAACTTTTTTGTTTTACCAGAGAATACTACCCTCTGGTAAACTTAGCTCTGCAAAATCACTATAACGAATAGTTTAATAGCGTTTAATAGGTACATCATATCCATAAATGATCCATTTTCCATATCTATGTTAGTTTACTGGAGGCTATCCCTTATAAACCCAATGAGTAACCAAATTAAATCTAGCTATGGACCAACTCACCAATCTGGGGGTCCCACATTGAAGGTAATAGTTGCTTTGCGACCCTCGTTGAAAGAGGGCCCCACCAAATGAGAGGTCACTCTAAATTTGACAGGGCTCTTGAGCCGTCTGAATGAAGTTCCAAGATGGTCAGGTCTAAAAGCTTTTAATATCTTGATTTTACCAAAAGACTCGGCGACACATGAAACCCTTCAATGCTGAGTTGACGCAAAGCTCTCCACTAAGTCACACCTTGGGACGCTTTGCCGCGGCTGCACGTTTTCGCGGCATGGTTGCAATGGAGAATGCGGTCTTCAAAGTTCATGGGAAAACCGGAAGTTTTTGGCAGTGCTTGGCAGTGCTTGTTGATTTTTCACTGGCTTTCACCATGCTTTCACCATGCTTTTACCCAATTGCTGGGCCTTGCAGTCTGGAAGCCTAAGCATATTGCCCGAAGAAGTCTCGACGCTTGTCACTGCACGTCACTCAGCAGTTTCTTTCAAGCCCTTTGCGCTGCTGATTGGTGGTTTCAACGCATGCAAAAAAAACAAACATGCCACTTGGGATCATCATCCCATTCTTAGAAGATAAACAGTAGCAAAGTTATCAATGAAACCACGTGACACCACATGAATCATTCACCAAGACTCTTTTCTGCGCAGAGTTGTGATCCAATCCCCAATGGGCGTGATACAAAGATTCACCTCAGAGATCCCTCAGAGACTCCTGGTCTTCTTCCATCTCTTGAGGTACATGATCAACCTGGGCGCCCATTTCTGACAAAACCAGGATGGGTTCTATGGATTTTCAGATCTTTTCACCTGGCGATGCTCCAGTCCGAGCAGCAGATTGAAATGGTAGTAGATGGCAGGGAAGACCTGGGCGAAGCCGAAATAAGATCAAGAGATATCTCGGATGACCATAAGCCATCTATCAATCTGTTTTTCTTCCACAAATCCATCCATGAATTATGTACTATGATAATCTATGATAAATGCGATACTGACCAATTCTTAGCTTCTCTACAGGTAAGAAACTATAGCAGTACCATAGCAAACGTGTCCGAACGTGTCCGAAGGCGTCACGCTTCGCAGGCCCCCCGGGCCCCGCCCCCCCAACCCCCAGGGATCCGGACAAGTTGATCCAGCATCAGCATCACTAACGCATTGTCTGCCTTAGACGAGCCCAGGAGGCGCCACTCCGATTTCGGCAGTGAAAAATATGCACATTGGGACACCGTTCAGCCAGATTTTCAAAGATTTTCAACCATGGGAACTATATGGGAACCTTTCAACAGACGTTTCTGGGTTTGCGGCCCAATGCTGCTGCATGACCTTGGAGAGCGATGGCATAGGATGGTTTATCATGGCTTATGGATGTTGAATCTGTTGAATCTGTTGAATTAATGTATATATTAGTATATATATATATATGCATGTTTATATATCTTTACCAGTAGTACCGCACAAGGCGGTGGCGGAAGTTTCAAAAATAGGAAACCTATAGGAGACGTTGGTTGTTGTGAATCAGAGATGGCAGAGCGAAGCCACTGCTGGACTGAAAGGCAATTGATCTCTCTCACTCTTGTCCACCTGTCTATCTATCTATCTATCTGTCTAGCTGTCTATCTGTCTATCTTTGGTGCAGTGTCATTCAGTGTAATGTAGTGTAGTGTAATGTAGTGGAGTGTAGTGGAGTGTAGTTGTAGTTGTAGGTGTAGTGTAGTTGTAGGTGTAGTGTAGTGGGGTGTAGTGTAGAGTAATGTCGCGAAGTGTAGTGGAAGGTAGTGTAGTGTAGTGTAATGTAGTGTAGTGGAGTCTAGTGTAGTGTAATGTAGTGTAGTGAAGTGTAATTTAGTGTAGTGGAGCGTAGTGGAGTGTAGTTGTGTAGTTTGAGTTGTAGTGTTGTGGAGTGTAGTGTAGTGTAAGGTAGTGTAGTGTAGTGTAATTTAGTGTAGTGGAGTGTAGTTGTGTATGTGTAGTTGTATTTGTAGTGTAGTGGAGGGTAGTGTAGTGTAATGTAGTGAAGTGTAGTGTAGTGGAGTGTAGTTGTGTAGTTGTAGTTGTAGTGGAGTGTAGTGGAGTGAAGTGGAGTAGTGGTGTAGTTGTGTAGTTGTAGTTGTAGTGTAGTGGAGTGTAGTGGAGTGTAGTGTAATGTAGTGTAGTGTAGCGTAGTGGAGTGCAGTGCAGTGCAGTGTAGTGGAGTGTAGTTGTGTAGTTGTAGTTGTAGTGTAGAGGAGTGTAGTGGAGTGTAGTGTAGTGTAATGTAGTGTAGTGTAGTGTAGCGTAGTGGAGTGTAGTGTAGTGTAATGTGGGATAGTGGAGTGTAGTGGAGTGTAAAGTAGTGTAGTGTAGTTTAGTGTAGTGGAGTGTGGTGGAGTGTAGTGGACTGTAGTTGTGTAGTTGTAGTTGCAACCTGTAGTGTTGTGAAGTGTAGTGTAATGTAATGTAGTGTAATGTAGTGTAGTGCAGCGTAGTGTAGTGTAATGTAGTGGAGTCGAGTGAAGCGAAGCAACATCTGAACCGCCAAAAGTGGTCCGAAACCCTAGTGTTTGTGACATTTTAACTTCCAAATATGCTTCGCGCCACAACGGCGTGCACTTTTTCGAAACTCGACATCTCAGCCTCCAAAAGTGGTCCGAGAATGGTGTGCTTTCTACATTTTCACTTGGAAATGTGCTTCGCGCCACAACGGCGTGCACTTTTTCGAAACTCGACTTTGAAACTTCCAAAAGTGGTCCGACATTGGTGTGTTTTGTACATTTTGACTTGGAAATGTGCTTCGCGCCACAACGGCGTGCACTTTTTCGACGTCTCAACTTCCAAAAGTGGTCCGACATTAGTGTGTTTTGTACATTTTCACTTGGAAATGTGCTTCGCGCCACAACGGCGTGCACTTTTTCGACATCTAAACTTCCAAAAGTGGTCCGACATTGGTGTGCTTTGTACATTTTGACTTGGAAATGTGCTTCGCGCCACAACGGCGTACACTTTTTCGACATCGCAACTTCCAAAAGTGGTCCGACCATGGTGTGTTTTGTACATTTTGACTTGGAAATGTGCTTCGCGCCACAACGGCGTGCAACTTTTCATCTCTCATCTGGCCAGCTGCCTCCGCACCCGCCGCTTTAGCGAGCCTACTTTTCCACCCTCCCGAGCCACAAATCATTGGAAAAACACAGTGAATCGCGACTTTCCTACCTTTTCGCGCATCTGCATCTTCTTTCTTCTGACTCTTTCTCTTCTGATCTTCTCTCTTCTGATCTTTTCTCTTCTGACTCTTCTCACCTCTGCTTTTCAACTGTCCATATTGTCGGAAGTTTCACTTCTAAACTTCCTTCGACTATATCTTTATTATTTGACCTGCCACAGAAACACGTTCACAGCCCCAGAGTCTGAGTTTCTGTCTTGCATCCAGGTATGGATCTCGGACGCAATCAGAAAGACCTTGACGCCACGACAACATCGAAAGCTGACGGTCAAGAAAAACAACAGCAGGTGCTCTTCAGAGCTTGTCAAAGCTTGGGGAGATTCACCAGCTTCTTACTCTGATTCACTTGAAAGCAATTTATACTCTTTTATCATATCATTTCTTTCCATATCCAGATTCCAATTCTTGACGGTCAGAATCCATTCACGCTGTCCTCTGGAGGCGTCCATGGTGTACCAAGGTCCACATGTTGCGCACACAATGCGCAGTACAATGGTCCCATGAGATTCTGAGCTGGCAGCAATAACGAGGAAACCATAAGATCGCCTAACCTTGAGAGTGCCGATGGCAGCTAACCATTGGGAAATGACAAATATTTATTTAGCTTAAAATAGCGTTTCAGATCGCCTTTTCGAAATAGCATTGTGAAAATTATTGCCTGAAGCCTAACCTCACTGACTCGCCGCGAAGTGGAGAAGTGGCAACGCATAAAGCCATGCTGAGCCATCCGCCTTTGAAACCCAGCCTCCCAGGTTCCAAAGAAAGCATTGGATGGGAAAATGGCAAAACAAATGGAAACAACATGGAACAATTGAACTCTGTGGAACTTGAGAGCATCGACTAAAATATGACAAAATCCGACCAAATACCACTACGATATGACTAACGTATGACTCATATATGACTAAAATGACAGCCATGAGCGCAGCGCACGAGCGCACCTGGAGCTCCAAGACTGTTGATGATAAAAAGGCCCTCGTTCAAGGGCGTCAGAAGGACCACCTACCGCGGCGGAGAAATCTGATACGACGTGATGTTACAAGAGTTTGAAACAAAGACTCCCGTTGAAATTCTGTCTCATAAATATTGATAAATATCGATAAATCTTCCGTATTTCGAAATATTTTAATTGAGTACCAGAGTTGGATACAGCTTATCAGGTAATGAAGCCCTTTGCCAAGTCTAGACATCATCCTGGTAGAAACGGAGTTTGATCATCAACAGCCGTCTACGGAGGGGTATCCAATGGTATCTATTATCATCTATTATCATCTATTATCATCTATTACCATCTATTATCATCTATTATCATCTATTATCATCTATTATCATCTATTATCATCTATTACCATCTATTATCATCTATTATCATCTATTACCATCTATTATCATCTATTATCTATTATTAGCTAATCTTTTCGATAAACCGGAACAAGATCTTTCTTCCATATGGATGTTTCGAGAAAGCTGAGGCTGAAGCAACCAGCGGCAGAATCCACTTGTGCTGCTGATTCAGTGCGAAGCATATCATCACCTGGGATCTTCACCCCATCTGCTGAGCTCCAAACATTGGGAGTTTGTGCTTATCAAGTGGATAATGAATGGCAATTGGATATATCTATTTTTGGGATAAAACATCGTACTTTACACATTTGTTTATATCTACTACAAACATGTGTAAAGTATTTTGCTAATGTGCTGTGAATGGCAATGAATGGATCAGAATATGCATCATCCGTTTGCTGCTGAAATTTCTGATCCATTTTCTGCCTGCTTCGCAGATCTCTCGGTTGCGAGCCGTAAAAGTGTACGGCACGTGGTGTGCGATAAGTTCGCCACAAGTCCAGCCTTGCTTCCCCAATTTTTGTCGACATTTCACATTGCTCAATCATGAAAAATACATGAGTTCAAATATGTTCAAATGACATCATTTGACCATAACTCCCCAAGAAAGAGTCCGTTACAAAAAATGACATCTTTGAGTCCCTCATGATTCATGATGGTCCTTTAAGCTGGGGACCAGGTGACATCGCACACCAGCCAGGGCCCAGGGCTATTGCGACCTCAATGGCACTGCAGTCATTCTGATTTGCCTCGAAAAAAC